TGCACACTTTTCATTTGAGCATCAAGAAATCCCTTGACATATCTTCCATAGAGTTTCCTTAGTGGTCATGAATTGCTTTAACCTGTCTTCATTGTGTAAAGTTTTTCTTTTACAATCATGACAGACTGTTTTGCTGGATACAATCTAGAGTAGCAGTTGCTGTTTTCAGGGCTTGAACAACATTCAAAGCCCTCCTGGAGAAACTATCTATTATCTGATGTGACCTCTTTTTTTTCTCTCCATTTTTTTTAATTTAAATTAGAAACAAGATTGTTTTCCATGTCAATCCCAGTTCAGTTCCCTCTGCCTCCTCTCCTCCCCCGCCCCCACCCCCACTAACACGCTACCCATCCCACACCCTTTCTGTTCCCCGGGGAGGGTGAAGCCTTCTATAGGGGATCTTCAGAATCTGTCATATCCTTTGGGGTAGGGCCTAGGCTGAGGGAGTATCCCTCTATGTGGAATGGGCTCCCAATCCATTCCTATTCTAGGAATAAGTACTGATCTACACAAGAGGCCCCATAGATTTCTGAGGCCTCCTCACTGATACCCATATTCAGGGGGTCTGGAACAGTCCTATGCTGGTTTCCCAGCTATCAGTCTCGGCTGCATGAACTCCCCCTTGTTCAGGTCAGCTGTTTATGTGGGTTTCACCAGCCTGGTCTGGACTGCTTTGCTCATCACTCGTCCTTCTCTGCAACTGGATTCCAGTTCAGTTCAGTTTAGTGTTTAGCTGTGGGTGTCTGCTTCTACTTCTGTCAGCTGCTGGATAAAGGCTATAGGATGGCATATAAGTTAGTCATTGATCTCATTATCAGGGGAGGGCATTTAAGGTAGCCCCTCCTCTATTGCTTAGATTGTTAGTTGGTATCATTCTTGTAGATCTCCAGACATTTCCCCAGTGCCTGATTTCTCTTTAAACCTATAATGGCTCCCTCTGTTATGGTATCTCTTATCTTGCCCTCCTTTATTCTTCCCCCAATTCAACCTTCCTGCTATCACCATGCATAAAACTTAAGTCCAAATGTATCAAAGACCTCAACCAAAATCCAGCAACAGTGAACCTATTAAAAGAGAAAGTGGGAAGTACCCTTAAACAAATTGGTACAGGAGACAGCTTCCTGAACATAACACCAGTAGCACAGACACTGAAATCAACAATTAATAAATGGGACCCCCGGAAACTGAGAAGCTTCTGTAAGGTAAAGGACACAGTCAGCAAAACAAAACAGCAGCCCACAGAATGGGAAAATATATTCACCAACCCACATCTGACAGAGGGCTGATCTCCAAAATATACAAAGAACTCAAGAAGCTAGTTTCCAAAACACCAAACAATCCAATTAAAAAATGGGGTACAGAGCTAAATAGACAATTCTCAATAGATGAATCTAAAATGCCTGAAAGACACATAAGAAAGTGTTCAACATCCTTAGCCATCAAGGAAGTGCAAATCAAAACAACTCTGAGATACCATCTTACTCCTGTCAGATGGCTAAAATCAAAAACACCAATGACAATTTATGCTAGAGAGAATGTGGAGAAAGAGGAACATTCTTCCACTGCTGGTGGGAGTGCCAACTTGTACAGCCACTTTGGAAATCAGTATGGCGACTCTTCATGAAAATGGGAATCAGTCTACCACAAGATCCAGCAATTCCACTCTTAGGCATATACCCAAAAGAAGCACATTCATATAACAAGAACATCTGTTCAAAGATGTTCATAGCAGCATTATTTGTAATAGCCAGAACTGGAAGCAGCCTAGATGTCCCTCAACTGAAGAATATATAGAGAAAATGTGGTACATTTATACAATGGAGCATTATTCAGCAGGGGGGGGAAACAATAACAACAACAATGGAATCTTGAAATTTGCAGGCAAATGAATGGAATTAGAAGAAACCATTCTGAGCGAGGTAACTCTGTCACAAAAAGACAAACGTGGTATGTACTCACTCATATATGGATTTTAAACATCTAGCAAAAAATTACCAGCCTATAATCCACACCTCCAGATAAGCTAGGAAACAAGGAGAACTCTAAGAGAAACATACATGATCCCCTGGAGAAGGGGAAAGGGACAAGATCTCCTGAGCAAATTGGGAGCATGGTGGGGAGGGGAGAGGGAGCTAGGAGAAGGAGGACATGAGGGAACTGATATGACTTCTTTCTTGCCTTCCTTCCTCTTCTTCTCTCTTTTCTTTGTTCTGTTTATTCAATGTTTTAACTATGATATGATGTGGGGGTGTTCTTTTCTGTTTGTTGTTCTTTTAGTAAATGTGTCCTGTACTTGGATGGACATTCCTCTACTCAGCTTTGGGGAATTTCTGCTATACTTTTGTTGAAAATTCTCTAAGTCTAAAGCATAAAACTCTTTTCTTTCTTTTATGCCCACAATAGATCTGGTCTTTTTTAGGGTCCCATAGATCTCAAATGTTCAGTTTTTATTTTCCTATTAGCTTATCTTTCTCACTGTAAGGCCACTCCAGTTCCTCAACCTTGTCTCCTCAGTCTGAGAGTCTGTCTTCTTACTGTGGATTTTCTTTGAGTCATTGAATTTTTCACTTAGAGTGATTAAGTCTGTGTTTTCTTCAAATAGAAAACTCTTTATTGAATTGCACTTTAATGTCCTATGTTGCCTCCCCTATTTCATTCTATGGTTTCTTTGTGTGCTCTTGAAATTCACATCAGAGTTTATCTGTGTCCTCTCTGATTTGTTTATTTATTTTTTATATTTACTTTCTTCTTGAGACAGTGTTTTTCATTCTTTGATTTCTTTGAGGATACTTATAACCATTCTTTTCAATTCTTTGCCTGGAATTTTTTCTAATTTACTCTTAGTGGAGCCCATAACTGTGAGAATAGTACCTTGGGGTCAAGGATGTTGCCTTGGTTTTTCAAGTTTCTTATGAATCTAAATTTAGGTCAATGATTGGATGTTTTTTTAATCACCCTTATTTTTTAAGTAGAAGTGTCTGAAATGTTCAAGATGGCATAGACTACAGTATCAATTGTAGTATTGGGCATCAATTCCTCTGCTAGACTTGTATTCTGTATTTCTCTTTGTTTTGGTTTGGTTTATTGTTGTGGCTTAATTGTTTGTTTTTGAGACAGTGTTTCTCTGTGTAGTCCTGGCTGTCCTAGAACACACTATGTAGACCAGGCTGGCCTTGATCTCAGAGATCTGCATGCCTCTGCCTCCCTTCTGGGATTAAATGTGTGCATTGCCATCTTCCAGTGTGTTCTGGATTTCAAGCTCAATATGCAGTACACCCCTAAAAGCAGAATATTTTCTGGAGAAAAAGATCACTACCAAAGAGTAGGCCCAATGTAAAACTACAATAATAGTCAATAAAAAACAATTTCCACATAAACACCAATCATTTTAGGAAGTAAAGGAATACTGATAGTACTGTGTACACTAATAAATTAGCTATTGTGTTGTCCTGACTAGTTTTATGTCAACTTGACACAAGCTAGAGTCATCTGAAAGAAAAGGAGCTTCAGTTGAGAAGACAGCTACACAGGATGCAGCTGTAGGATATTTTTCAAATTAGTGATTGATGGGGAGGGCCCAGCCCATTATGGGTGGTGCTATCCCTAGCCTGAAACCCTGGGTTCTATAGGAAAGCAGGCTGAGCAAGCCATCACAAGCAAGCTAGTAAGCAGCAGCCCTCTATGGCCTCTGCATCAGCTCCGGCCTCTAGGCTCCTGCCCTTCTTGAGTTTCTACCCTCATTGCTTTTGATGATGAGCTGTTACATGGAACTGTGAGTGAAATAAACTCTGTCCTCCCCAAGTTGCTTCTGGTCATGGTGTTTCATCACAGCAATAGAAACCCTAACTAAGATATGTGGGGATGAATAAAGGAGAAAAAGTAGAGTAAAATTAATGAGTCATACTGAACTGATAAAGTAGAAAAAGGAAAAATTAAGTACAAGGGTAACTTGTACAGGTGGGGGTCAGACAAACCAGTTTTGGCTAGACACAGAAGAAAAGAAAGAAAGAAATAATAAGATAGCCTAAAACAGTCCAGGCCATCAGGAAGCTGTAATATAGAAACCCTGCACAGCAGGACAGCCTGTGTTCTTGAGAATGCCTATAAAAGGAAAATTCTAATGGAAAAAAAATAGAGGAAAAGAAGATGTGGCAGGAGGACAGAAACAGAGCAGCACAGGGCTGTTCTACTAAACTGATATCAGGTATTAAATAAAGAAGGGGTAAATGTGAGGTAGACAGAGCTGTGTGGATGGACTGGTTCCAGTCCCAAAGCTCTCAGCGTTCCTTCCCCAACTCTCAGATGCCTGTCACATGCCTGAACAATCTCATCCATCAGGCCACAGATGCTGGTCACATCTCTGGACAGTCACTCTGGGGTCAAGTTGCAAATGGTATTTTTGTCTCCAGGTGATAATTTTGGGAGTCTGGTTGCAACTGATAACCCCATTCCAGTGAGTCCTTTGTGCAGGCATGTAGCAGATATTGAGCCCGTATCCATGGGTCTTGTTTTAAATACCGACCCCACCCATGGGTGTCTAGCATGTGACTTTGAATGTAAGTCAATGTTTCCCTGAAGTCCCTGGGTCTGACCAGGTTTCCACTTTCCTGGATGCTACATGATTCTTCCAAGCAGTCTAAAGATATTCTGCTGGCCAGGTTGCAGCACATGGCCTTGTGACATTTGCTTTGAGTTTCCCAAGAGTATAGCTCATGGAAGCTCTCAGTGGCCGAGCATCTGTCACAGAAGGAACCTTTGAAAAGTGGTTCCTGGCATCTATGCCAGAAGAATGTTTTCCTGACATCATTCATCCCTCTACCAGTGCTACTGCCAGTAGAGACCCCTGTCTTTCTAGTATCTTTAAATGTCTGTTACTGAATGCATTGCACAAGCTCCTGAGCCCCTGCTATCCACTGTTGGCCCTCTCTTATACTATGAGTAGGTGCTGTGCAAACCGATCAGTCTCTCCAGAACGCTTATAAAGTTTCCTATTCACTCACCGACTTCTGCTACCTGTTATCAGCATTTCTCCACTGTTTCCCTGAAGATTCAAGCAGATTACGATGGGTCTCCTGCACCATCTCAGATCTTCTTTCTTTTGTTCCTGGTAGAAAATGTTAGGATTAGTCATGGCATAGTCAATATTTGGCCATTTTTGAAATACATTTTGGTGACATAAGTTCAAAAATCTATCAAATTTTTAGAAACTAGATTTGAGCCAATTCATTATCTTTTCTTTTTCTTTATGTTTTTTCAAGACAGGGTGCTCTGTGGCTTTGGAGCTTGTCCTGGAACTCACTCTGTAGCCGAGGCTGGGCTTGAACTCACCGAGGAATGATGTCAGGAAAACATTCTTCTGGCATAGATGCCAGAACCACTTTTCAAAGGTTCCTTCTGTGACAGATGCTCGGCCACTGAGAGCTTCCATGAGCTATACTCTTGGGAAACTCAAAGCAAATGTCACTGTCTCTGCCTCCCGAGTGCTGGGATTAAAGGAATGTGCCACTACTGCCCAGCAAGCCTACTCGGTATCTTTAACCTCCTTCTATAGTCATTGGTCAGCTGATGTTGATTTTGTTTCTAGTATACATTCCCATGCTTTAGCTGTTACTAAAGCTGTTGAAGCTGAGCCACTTTTAGACAAGATGTACACTGTCTAGATGCAACGTTAGAACTTCTTTGTTCTCCCACACCTCTATGCTCAGCTATTTGTGTTACCGGCCCAGTATTCCTAAAACATTTGAGTTTGAATCCTTCAACAGGAAATAGACCTGTTGTGTTGTTAATCTTAAATGTTTCCCATAGCCTCCTGTTTTGAATGTTTATCCCCCAGATGGTGGAGGTATTTTAGGAAGCTATGCAATCTTGAGAAGATATGTCAGGGACAGCAAAAGTAGGTCACTGGGAATGGTCCTTTGAAGGTTATATCCTGTAAACAGAGGCTCTTCTCTTCTGCCTGGTCCTGCAGCCACTTATTAAAATAATCACTCAGAGGCTTAGTATTAATCACAAACTGTTTGGCCTACTGCTCAGGCTTATTACTACTTAGCTCTTCCAACTTAAATTAACTCATTTCTGTTAGTCTGTATTTTGCCACATGGCTTTGTGGCCTTAACTGTTCTCTAGTACATCTTGTTGCTCCAGTGGCTCTATGGCATCTCGCCAGACTCTGCCCTTCTTCTCCTGTATCCATGCTTGGATTTCCCGCCTGGCTCTATCCTGTCAAATCAGCTATTTTATTAACCAATGGAAATACAACATATTCGCAGCATACAAAAGGGTTATCCCACAGCAATATCCAGCCCCTGGTTCCTGTTGTTCTCTGACTCTTGGTCAGCAATAATATGAGCAACTTCTACCAAGTTCCTACTACCATGAACTGAGATTGCCTTGCTGTCTGTGATAGACAGGAACCATGAGCCAAAATAAATCTACCAGCTGTTTCTGTTGGATGTTGTGGTCATGGCAAAGCAAAATTAACTAATATATCTGTGTTCTCCTGCTCTCCTCCAAAACTACAGCAAGTAGGTTGGATTAAATTTTAAAATGAGTAGCCAGAGATTAAGGCTGAAGTCTTCCTCTAAAGATAACCATTCATCTTTGACTATAGCTAAAGGGGCATCGTCACAAGCAGTGACTGTGACTGGTTAACAAACAAAGTGTACATCCAGGAGTTGAGGATGGAGCCCAATGGCGGGGCATTTGCTTAGCAAGTACAAGGTCCTGGGTCCAATCTCATTCTCTTAAAATACATATGCAACCGGTAGTTAATAATTGGTGGCACGTGCCTTTAATCTTAGCACTCAGGAGGAGAGGCATGTTGAGCTCTGTGGGTTCAAGGCCAGCCTAGTCTACAGAGCAAGTTCGAAAATAGTCAGTGCTACACAGAGAAACCCTGTCTCAAAAAAACAATAATAATAATAAGAAGAATTTCTTTAAAAGATTGCATGATGACAGAAATGGGAAAATTTAGTACCTTTATAACAATGAGCTCACATTCTTCTCTTCAAAGTTTACTTTAATGAAATACCTGCTTTTTTTAAGGCTGTAATTTCCCTATGACATAACACATGTATTAACAAATCCAAGTGATAACTTAAGGTGTACTTCATTTCATACTTTGTAACTAACAAAACTACCGGATTGAACTATAATTGTTATTAATATTTATTTCCTAACAACCAAATAAGTTTCAGGAAATTGAGTGTTAAGTCCTAATTTTTCTCTATGTCATCTCCTTATTTTAAGACTTATTTTTATTTATATGTTGTGTGAGTGTATGCCACATGTGTGCATGTGCCCTAGGAAGTCAGAAGAGGACTTTGGATCTCCTAAAACTGAAAATACAGACAGATGTACCATCCAAGTGGGTCCTGGGAATTGAACTAAGGTCCGCAGTACAAGCCAGCCTGTATATCAGCTCTTATTATTAACATGGTTGGTCTTCCCTTATACAGGTAAGCTGTACATATTACAAAATAAACTGAAGCACAGAAGGAGAAGGGAGGAAAAGACAGGAAGTTTTTGGTTTTGGTTTGGTTTATAAATTTTGAGGCATGGTTTCACTCTGAAGCTCAGGCTATCCTTAAACTCTCTAGGTTGCCCTGGCTAGTCCCAGACTCATGGTCTTCCTGCTTGCCTCAGCCTCCCAAATGCTGGGATTACAGGTGTCAGCTGCCACACCCAGTTTAGGCATGATTTCTTATTTCATGTTTAAACACTTCCCAAATTGTAAGAGGATCTAAGTAAATCTTTTCAGTGAAACCCTTTCAAACCGATTACTCATCATCAAACTAAGGTATGTATAGCAGATGCATTGATCGTAAATGCCACTAACAGTCATAACAACTTATAACGACAAAAATATTTGGCAGAGTGGCAAGAAAGAAGATTTGTAGGGATATTTTGAATACCTTTAGGTTTGTTTCTGGAGTCCATCCAATCTTTGCTAAGGATTGTACAGAAGTCTCATAAAGGCTAAATGTTCCCATCTTTTGCAAAGGCTGACCTGTTACAGCTATTGGAAGTATGAGGCTATTAAGTTGTTTTTGTTTTGTTTTGTTTTGTTTTTGAACAAAAGGAGTGCTAATAAAGCTGGGGCCATATACAGCTAAAAGGTAGCTAAAGAACAATAGTCAGTAGGTTTATTAACCCTTCCCGGAAGCCATCATTTTCTTTTGAATTTTTATATATCTCCACAGACAAGCAAAATAGAGAACTGAACGTTTAGTCTGGCTAATTAACAGGAGCACTATGTGTTTGTTTTCTGTGGTGGGAGGTGGGGAGAGAATGGAAATCGCTCTGAGAAATCATTACATTACCTGGGCCACGGCTCTGCATTACCACATTACCACAGGCTCAAGAGTCCTCCCTTCTCCCCAGGGGAAGTGCCAAGCAAGAAATAATTTATCTCAAAATGCTGCCAAGACTGAGTATCTAAAGACTGGCTCCTGTCGCACATCCATAAGGAAGCAGGCTTGAGGCAAGGGCAAGCACCCGAGGAAAGTACAGGAAGGCTTTCAACAGTCCCAGCTGGGGATTTTCTCAAAAAGATCTGCACGATGCCAAGTTAATCTTGAGACTTCTTGCTTCACCTCCTTTTATGTCGTTCCCTGAGCCTGTCTTGTCTAAACTTGTCCTCAGGATGTCTTTCTCTATAAACTCCCACCTCTGGGGAGCCTTGGCATCTCTTCCTTACCCGAAGGCCCTTGAACTGCTTGCTGATTTCCACATTTCTCTAGTTGAAAATCTCCCTCCCGGGCAGGAATGCAAGCTATGCCACTCTCCCCTCTGAGTCAGATGGAGATACTGGTCATTTCTCGGCCAAGGAGTCTTTTGCTAAGGCCATACCCCCTTTGTTCCAAAAGAACATCTTCCCTGTGGGAAATGAGGCCCAGCTACCCTGACAGTGAACTGCCTCGCAGAGGCAACTGAGAGGCCCAACTGTTGAAGAGCCAGTTTGCAGTTCATTTTGATTTGGAGGAAAAGCCTATAAAAGAAGCCAGTATGTCATACTGTTCCCTTTCTCCAAGGGACTTTCCTGGTACTGCTGACTTACCAAAGCCTGGCTCTGCCTGCTCCAGCTGTCATAGTAAAATACCTATAAACTATGTGCATCAAATAAAAGACCTGCAAGGATTTTCCAACTCTTCAAGTAGTTCTGAAATTGTTAACAGTTCCTCCTTCAACCCACCCTATCCGCACAGTGTACAGAACTCAGGAAAAAAAAAGCCGCATCTCAGGCGCACTGCACGAGGGCACTGGCCCTGCTTTCCAAGGGTGGACATCATCATGAATTTCTTTTTACGATGTCATAAGGTTCATCTTTTGTTCAACTTCAAATGACAGGTCCCTTGCCTGTCTGAGTGAGGCCTTCCCCAGCTGGCCTTTGATGTGCTTCTGCGAATGCTGTTAGTCATGTGCTTTCTTCTGGTCTTCTTTAAAGTTCTTTCTAAGCCCTCACCGGACTTGCCCACCTTATTCTGCACATATCAGGCAAAGCTCTCCTGGTCTCTATTCAATGTCCAACTCCAAAGCTGTTCCTTCGTGGTCAGCTCCCACAGAACTTCCTTCTCCCTTCCAAACATCATTTTTACTTCCAAGTAATGTTCTGTTGCCTAAACTAGAGTTTTATGCCTCTTGACACAACGCCAATTACAAACAATGATCATTGACCTCATGAGACTCTTGGCCTTTCCTAGCCTGCCTACAAACTCAACTGGCTTGCGGGGGCGGGGGGGGTGTCTTTTTCTTTATTTATTTTATGCCTGAATGTTATATCCATTGCGCCCTGTGCATGTAGGTGCCCAAGGAAGCCAGAAGAGGGCATCGGATTCCCTGGAAGTAGTTACAGACAGTGTGAGCTGATCAGTGTGGGTGCTGGGAGAGTTTGAGTCCTGGGAACTAATTCCAGGGTCTCTGGAAGAACAACAAGTGCTCTTAACCACTGAGCTATCAAATGCCCTTTGCTTAAGTCCAGTAAAAGTTTTCTTATGTTGGTTTCATGCTTTACTTTCTTGTTTGTGTCTTTGTTTTGAGACAGGGACTCATACAGCCCCAGCTGGCCTAGAACTGGAACAATGTTGCCCAGGCTTGACTGGAGCTTACAATCCTACTCTCTGTCTCCAGAGAACTCCTATATATTGAGTCCTACCCTCTTTCCAGGCTCCTTACCTTCTTCCTTTTTGGAAGGAAAAGAATTTCAAAAAGACTGTGGCAGGCTCAGCAGAGAACCTGTCATGTGTTTAAAGGAGCCTCTTAC